TTATTATTATAGCTAAATGTATAGAAGAGAAATAACGGACCAATAAAGGGGTTCTTCCGTGGTGGTCGTGCGACTCAACTACTACGGATACATATGCGTTATTTGAATCGTTACTTTTATAAAAAATTATATTTTTGTGTCTATACGTACGATTCGATCGGCGTATATCACACACAGGACGGGAGCGAATCGCTGCGCGTACGATCGTGACGGCGACGATGCGCACGTAGCCAACGGTCCTGTTTGCATGTGTTTCAATGTTGCCGCCGAAGTGCCCCAAGGCATTCGACCGGTGTCTAAAGGTACGGTTTCCTAGGCGCGGATAGTTTGAACTATGACTAGTTTCGTTGACATAAAAATCGCATCGGCTCCAAACACATTTTCCGTGTTTTGTAGTAGTACTTAAAATTTTGCAGAGTAACGACGTCTGTTGAACCATACGATTTCGGTACGTCCGAAATCGCGTGCATTGTGAACAATAACAAAACCATTTGCTCGAAGAGAAGGAGGAAGAAGATAAAAAAAAAAATTTTTTTCTAATTTTTATTCAAAAAAACTTTCGACGTAATAGTATGCTTTTGATATTATACAGTATTACGATTAATATAGTAACCATAGGTGTGCGCACGGGGGTGGCCGGGTGGGCCGCGGCCCCCCCTGCGGACTGGCTTTTTCTTTAATAAATGTATATCTATACTATACAAGATAGCGAACATTATTAAATTTTACATGAATAAAGTGAAGCCCGTTTTAATCTTATAGTATAGAACTGATATCTGTGAATAAATGTGATAAAATTATTAGTTATTAATCAGACTAATCAGAACTCGCATATAATATAAAAATTGAAGATGTAATTGATACATTCAAAAACTTTCCTCCCGTGGACAAAAGGATGGAGTTGTAAATAGTATAATAATATGTAAATAAGGATTTCTTAGATATAAATTGTGTAAGTTTAAATAGTATTTATTTTTATATTTGCATATTGAATTAAATAAATAATTTATAAAATTTAAAATATTTAATTATACTAGTAGCCTTTAGTACAAGAATCATTGGTTCACTTTTTTAAGGGGCCCCTCCTGCGGACAAAGTCTGCGCACGCCTATGATAGTAACGATTGCATATAAATTTTGCGACAAAAACCGTACTTTTGACAACTGTCACGATACCACTGGTTTCGTCGCGGTTCAAATTCAGTCGCGAGCCACAGCCGCGCTTCGGAAACCAATCTATGTATAGGCATAACGTGTAAACATCGTTGCTGTTACAGCCTCGTCTAGGTTAGGTTAGGACTGACACTTTGGTTAGGTTAAGTTTGGTTTTTTTAGCTTTGATTTGGACTGACCAGCCGCGCCTATGAAATCGTAGCTTAACGGTCGTGCAAATGAACGCGTGTTCCGGTCATCGTCATCGGCAACTTTTCGTTCGCCGTTATCGCTACGCCCCCGCACCTCTTGAAACATCGCTGTTTCGTTCTCGGGCCGCCGGTACGAACCGAATAAGAATAAAGAAACACCGTAATATTATTTTTCCACCGTCGAACAAAATACGTTTATAGTGAAAGGGGGTCGGCTGACCCGTGGTTAATGTTTGTTGACCTAACCTAACCTTACGGACTAGTCGCGGTTACTATTAAGACCGGAGCAAACGTCCCCGTTGTCACTCTTCCATCGACGCCACCAGTAAAACGTCTCTGTACCGGACTCCGGTGCGAGACGAAATCCTCCACGACTTAAAATAAATGTTTTCAACTATAGTTACGAATTAACTTAAACACACTCATTATGTGATCGTATTGTAATTTTTTTAAATTTTTTTTTTTTTTTTTGTTACACGGTACAAGTTTACAATCCAATGTCAAGTCTCCGACCCACAGTTATCTCACCACGAATCTGCCCCCGGTTATAGCAATGAATGAATGTTCGTAAGATTCAGCCGTGCTGAAACACAACATCATACGTTTATGTGCGATCCCTGTCTCGAACGCGGAAATCCAATCGATGCCATTCGATCGTCTTATTTGCAATGGTTCTTTTTCTTCTACTTTTTTTTTTTTTTTTTCAATAAATTCTTCGAACCTAACAGAATTCGTGGACACGACAATATGTAGGCGGTACCTACGCGAACGATTCCGATGACTATAATCCGACGATTACAGAGATTTCGCTACGGTCGGTGACTTCTGCCAACGTACAATGATATATTGTACGTACAGTGACAAACGCCTGGCCTAAATTTTTTGACACATAGAATTGAAAAAAATAAACCGTCTTAAGCCGTCATAAAAAAAAATCTTTGACAAAACAGATGTAAATATCGACTAATATTACGTTATTGTGGAAGTAAATGCTTGGTTTTTTTTATTTTTATTTTTTTAATTGAGTTCCGATTTTTTTTCTTAACGATTTCCACTGAAAACACGCGTGTGGGAAGTAGGACGGAGGCGAAAAATCGTTCTTAAAAATTTACCAACGACAATAAACAATTGAAGTATGTAACAACGTGTAAACGCGGCATTTTTTCGATTCGAAGCACTTCGCTCTCGATGGTGTTCACGTGTTTTGTTCGGCGATCGCTTCGTTATTACTGTGTCTGCGAGTGTTGTGCACGCGCGCATATTTAAAAAATACTGGAGTGGTAACCACCACCTGTTCGTCGGCGAAAAAAAACATTTTTCCGATTATTTGTTAATAACCAGACTATGGTTTACTCGAGCCGATAAATTGCGAAACGATACAGACATAATGATGCGAGGAAAAATGCGCAGTGGTAATCTCGAGAAAAGGATCGGCGAGAGAAAAAAAAAAGACACGAGTACCGTATATACAGTTACGGAGTGAAGATCTTTAGTCTCGAGATGTAACACGAACTGTGATACCATTATTATGGACTATGTGCGTTACAGTAAACGACTCTAAGCTCCGATCGAGTTATTATTATTCTTGTTAGCCGTAGTTCTATGCAGATCCACGATTAAGATGAGCAGCGAACCTTAAACGAAAAATAAATAAAAGGCTCATGACACGAATACGCATCGTGGGCTCTGCGCGTCTGGTCAGGAGTCGAAAACAAAAAATAATATCACGGGTACATAAATCATTACGAACTGTACACGCCATGACAACACACCGGTACCGCCCACACGCAGGTGCGCTTAAGCAAATTCACGACTATTTTTCGGAATTGAAATTCTACGCGCTACAGATGATAAATCCGAGTCTGTTGAATATCTGTAATATTACGAGTACTTATATATACGTATATTATTCTTATAAGCATCGTTTAATAAGTTCGCCGTAGCTTTAGTTTTAGATTTATAATTAAAAGTGTCTCGTCACTGGAACATAATATCCGTAAGATATAAATATAGCATTTACCAGGACAGCACTTGCTCCAAACGAGTGGTTGATAACAATACTTTTGCGATAGCAGTTATTGTTCGTTCGAATCGACGAGTTTGTTTCGAAATCATCAAACACAATCAAAACGCTCGGAGGAGGAACACGCAAAGACCTTCGCTAAAATAATGAGATGTATTGTAGGCGCGTGAAGAATTGATTAATTAGGCGTCCAAAGGCGTTAAACGAAACAAGTAGAACAATTATTGACCACTGGTGCGATCAATAAATGTAATTATTAATTTTTTTTTTTTTTTTTTTATCTATAATGTATGAAAAGATATGAAAAGCAACATCGAATTGTTGGACTCAATTATTCTACGATCAGTGTACGTCCTATTGTTACACGACGTATGAATGAATTGCGCACGCTTAAGCGAGAACCGCTGCGAGACGATTTTACTTACCAATGTTATTGGATAATTATTACTGTGTTACTAATTCATTGAGCTCTTCATATTATTTAAACCTATATAACTGTATGCCTATGCATGCGATCGTATTGACCGTATTGGCTTTCTAAGTTCTAGATTGCAAAACACATTATGGCAGTGGCGGTTCGACCTTTTTGTTCTCGACTCGCGTGTAATATTTTTACACAACACGAATCAAATGTATTTATCATTCGAATTTAATTATATGAAATTAGACTTTAAACTCGATGTCTGATATCATAGGTAGGTTTGAGTATAGTTGGCTTTTAAAAATCGTGCGCTTTGTTAATAGTTCTGAAATAAATATTTAAAATATATTTTTGTTTTCTCCTGAGTGATCAGTCCAAATACAGTATACTCCAAGACTTTTTAATGTGTATACATTGGTCATATTTTTATAACTTTTTACATAGGTATTAATTTTACGAACAAATGTTTGAATAGTTTAGAGTCGTATGACGCGTACTATTATTTTTGCACACTAAAAAATCTAGTGCTTACCAACACACCAAAGAATAGTTGTTCTGTCAAATATAAACCTACTCGCAAACCACTGTTTTTCGAACATCGCATTATCGCGAAAATGTAAACGTTCTCTCTTAATTATTTAACATTTGTCATCAAAGTAACTGAAAATGTGAAAGTTTAAACATTTGGAAATGAAAAAAAAAACTACTATTATTTGTAGAAATACTTACATGGACGTAATATTTTGTTTAAATACAACGTTTGAGTTTCACTAAAAAAAAAAAAAAAAAAAAAAAATACAAAAAGTAGTTTAAAAAGTTTATAGCGACAGCCATCAAACGCTAATGGATAATATACTCATCGCAACGGACTTGTGTCATTAAGCTCTCGCCGATTTTCTCGCGCATATCGACTAAGATTTATTTCGTAGATCATAATTACATAGCGCGTCATAAAATCAGTAAACGGTAAATGCTGGAACCAGAAATGTTTTGAAGGAAATACATTATCGTATTCAGTAGGTGTGTTATAAACATTATTAGCTGTCGCAATTCAGACGTTTCTGACTGTACACCGATATAAATAAAAATTGTTCGAAACGGGAACGCCATCAGCAACGTCGTCATATGCCAAAAATGAACGAAACGAACGTAATACGAACAGTAACGTTAATAAATGATTTCTTTTTTTCCAGTGACCGGAAACCGAAAACGACCGTCGGATGTCTGTGCAACGGTCGTGAAGCTACACCGGGGGTTTTGTCGTGATGACCGTACGGGCGCTGTCGCGCGCGATCCTTCTGGCCGCCTTGGTCGCCGCGACTTGTCGGGGTGACGAAACGACGAGCGACTATTCCATAGCTGCCACCACCGACCGGCCGGAGATAACCGAAGACGAGGTAAGAACCGAGGATCGCGTATGCAAATCACCTAGATCACATTATTAAAACCCAGTGTGTCGGTGCATATCTTAATAAATGTTTACCCGATAGCATTGCGACCAAAAGCTAAATACCAAGAAACAAAATCTATGCCTTCTATCTGCCGAATATATCTCTTTTTTTGTAGTTTTCAGCTTCGATAAAAATGAACTCATTAATTCTGTACAATGGCTGCACTCAAAATAACAAACCATTCACTAAATTATAAGTCTTAAAATCTAGAACAATTAAAAAAAATTATGTTGATGTCTGTTCATTTACAAATTATGCAAAAACAATTTTCAATTAGAGTTCAGACTTTATTTCCACTTGACGATGGTCGCACGATCGGAAAATTGAACATACATTTCAAATAGATCTTTATTAAAGTCTGGAACCATTGCAAATCGTTTCGATTCTTAAAAATGTAAAATATCGATCCCGGTTTTAGTCAAACACGATTTTAACCGGTTCCGGCTCATTATATGTTATAACTTCGAATAAACTATATAATATTCATTATAATGTGAATATTACTATTTCCTATTAAAAATATCTTAATTCTATTACAAAAGCATACAGCTATTTTAAATTCCAAATAAAAGTATAGACAAAAGAAAATTTAGGAATTGAATTACGTATCAAATCCAAACGTTCACAAACTGATTACCTTCTGATACACATTAAATTCAAATATAATCAGAATATACAAGTGCTTCTTTTATTTTTTATATTAAAACATGCTCCGTAAGTTATGTACAACGCGTTAACGCTTTCAACTAGACGTGATTTCCGCACTTAAGTAATTTTTATAATCATTAACTTGGTCTGAAAATGATAATTTGAAGAGGATTACACGCGTGCAAACAATTGACATTTTAAAAATTATAATGAAAAATAATAAATAGAAAATATGTATGTCAAATATACGGACGTTTATTGTCGAACTAATAAATTGTAAAGCCACATTCTATTGTATAATAATACTGACAAAACGTATCGTTACGCTTATAATTATTTACAATGACGTAACCGTGGAACAGAAAAACCAAGCGTATAAAAATGTAAAAAATATTTTTGCGTTTCGAGTATTCCAAAACGGTGTAATATTACAATCGTCTAATTATATACTTTAAACGAAGTGTAAAATGTTTGGCTAAAGTTATGGATAATTTTATACTTAGAAGCGAGTGTGTGTGTGTGTGTGTGTGTGGTTGAGCGTAGAGAATTTTATCAATTACACGATATTGATCAGCGGGCAGCGGCCACTTAATATTATAATTAGTTGTACGATTCAATGAGAATTGTACGAATACCAAAAGAAATCGCACGTGAAATGATATAGTTCAAATATTTAGCGAATTTCACATTTTTTTAACATTCCCGGCAAATCAATGAATTCAAAGCTAATTGCCAGTCGGCCCTGATTAGATCACGCATAGTATTCAACTGTCAGTAGTCATTGGATTTTTGTCGAGAAAAACGTTCTGAAACACGGGCACAATTGAATACTGATATCATGCGATTGCAACGATGATTAGCATCACTTAAGCATTACGTACAATCGAAACTTTAAGGAAAAATATTGTTGTCTAAACGACATAGTGTTGAAGATCGTGTGCCTTCTTCTGTGGTTTAAAGATGAAACAACTAATTGCTTCTATGCGATCTTGGAAAATTCAATGTGCGCGGCAGAGTTGGGGCAAAAACAAATCAAAATAATGAATAAAAAATAAAAGCCTGAATAACTAATTTATTTATGAATAAAGAATAATTTTTTATTTTGAATAATTGTGGTGTACTGAATAAAGAATAAAATTATTCTGAATAGTTTTATTCGTTAATAAAACAATTATTCAGAATAAATTTATTCGTTAAAATCATGAATGATATTAAATATAAAAGTATAATTAATTTATTTTTGTCAATTATTATATATATTAATATGTATTACCTTTATATATATTATTTAAGTCTAAATAATAAGTATATTATCACTATACATCGTTATTTTGGATTTAAATTTATTATTTATATGGTCATAGGGAATAACGAATAACAAATAACTAAATAATGAATAAAATATAGTAAATAAAAATCTCCGAATAATGAATAACGAATAATAATACAAATTAAAATAATGAATAAAAATAAAAATCAATAATAAAATTAAGAATTAATCAATGAAGAACAATTTTTTATTCAAATAATCAATCGATTAATATTTTATTCGAATAATGCCCAAATCTGGTACGCGGATCGCGTTAATGTCGAGTCAATTGTTAGTCGAGACTGATACTGGAAAACGTATACTTATGTCGTAGTACTTGGTAGTGCATTTTATTTGAACAAAAAAATACACGAAAACAATGGTTTTCTAGTTGCATCGAAATAACAAGTACTGTTCAACTATTTTATAATATTATTATCATGATAAACAGCTAACAATAGTGTAATGATAATATCATGTCCACATTTACAATAACATAATAATAATAAAAATAAATTTTATAACAACATCTGGACGATAGCGACGGCCGTACGCTGCGGGTGATTGGCGTGCTATTACACTGGAAAATTATTTTGATTTCACTTAAAATGTTTTCATTTTTTTTTTTTTTTTTTTAGTATTAATAATAGAACAAGTAATCAAATTGCGAGCACAACGTGTTCATATATCATGGTCGAAATTGAATAATAACAATATGTAGTATACAGCGAAAAATAGTAAAACTGTGGGTGGTCGTCCGGCGTTCGCAGAGCTTTACACGCACAGTTTAGTATCAGTAATAGGTAGTATAGTTGTCTACGACAAAAACACGTATTTTCGTAGATAAAAAAAAAAAAAAAATTAGTGCACTAGTTAGTTGAAAAACTGTGCGTAAGAACGTGTCACCGTCAGAAATCGGACGGCAATTGGGTCAAAAATGTAAAAACGGACAATGCAAAGCATACACTGCATTCGCTCGGGCAACAGGTAAATAGTATCAATAACAGCCAATTGAAATCCTATACATAGAATTTTTTTTTCCCCATCCGTTCTGCATGTATAATGGTTATACCGTCGTTGAGCGAAGAATTCGTACTGATTTAACATGATATCGTTAAATATATATATATATATATATATATATATATATATATTTTTTTTTGTTATATTTTTGGTTTGAATCCCTATCGGTTTTTCTGGTTGATATTTATTTATTTATTTATGTACGGTGCAACAATGCAATACACAATGAGCACAATAGAATACAGTATAATTACAAATGTACGTATGGGAAATGCTAAAAGTTAATTACAATAGGTTGTGTAGATCTGAAAACAAGAGGACTACAATTGTAAACTCAGGGGTGCTAAAAACCGTACTGCGCCTATTCTGATACCCGATCAGATTTTCTAATGACCGAAATCCGTCTAATAGTACGGAAATCGCATGGAATTCGTGTGAAATGTAAAAAAAAAAAATCCCTTAAAACTGTGAACGGGTAATGATTACACTCTCGGGACGGCGGTGGACGGATCTCGTTACCATTATCATATTTTTATTTTCCCGTACACTGAACTCACTCTTAGAGCCGGTACACGCGACCGATATTTCATCGTACGATTTATTTATCGTATTAAAATATTATCGTACGATAAGGTGTTGGTTAGGTGCACACGACCGACATTTTATCGTACGATCCATATCATATATTATACATTATAATACAGTATCATCAACAATTACGTGTTCAGTATGAACTATGCAGTGTTTTTTGTATGTTGTGCATTTAAGTTCTCATTTAATTAATACTCGCCTATTAATTTTTGATGTTGACTTGATACTTTTTTATAATCTGGGTACAATAAAATAAAAATTTCTTTCCAAGCAGCTTTTTTTAAATACCTCTCAGAATAATTATTTTAAGTCTTGTCCCAAAGTAAAGGTCTTGCTTGGACTTCGCTGATAAGAATGTCGATATCAATATTTAAATCGTCTTCCACAAATTCAATTGATTTTGGCGAGTCGGCTCCACTAGAAAAATCACGTTCGTCCTCCGAAGACATGATGGATACTAAACACTTTCTATGTTTCGAGACGATAAATATTATCGTTCGTGTGTTCTAATCAGTTTGTTTATGTACATTTTGATTGAAATATTTTGGTCATACGAAATTTTTATCGGACAGAAGTTTAAAACGTCTCCGACAGTTTTCGAGGCGTCGTACGGTTATCTTATCGTACGACATTTTATCGTAATCGTGCGAACAGCTTAATTTACAACCATGTTATTTATAATATCGTACGATAACATTTTGATACGGTAAATAAATCGTACGACGAGGTGTCGGTCGTGTGTACCGGCTCTTACGGATGTATTTCATTCGCGAACTCGTTCAGCACGATAAAAAAAAAAAAAAAAAAAAAAAAGGCGCGATGGAATCGACTTCGAAAACGCACCCGGAACCCAACACAAAAACCGTTGGACGTCGTTCGCGGGAGGCGGGGAACGAATAGAAATAGCGTAGACAGCTTTTTTAGTTCGTTAGTCCCGCGACGCACGTTCACTACCCCTCCCCCTGGTAACGAACGCGGCGCGGTCGCGGTCAGGAAAACGCGCGCTTCTGGCCGCGAAACCCATTACCGGGGAATGCGTCCGCCGCGACAACAATGCATCGATAAAAATTGTCAATTCGAAGCGTACGCGCGCAACGGAAGTAGGAGCAAAAAAAAAAAAAAATCAAATAATGTTCTATTACGCCCAATCTATTTAACCGATCGACGTTCGAACACCGCACGCCTCCGATCGCCACTCGTTTAATTTACTTTCAACGTGCAACAAATGGGTCATCGGGCGTCGGTCGGCTGCGCGCGCGCGCGCACGCGGTACCGGACACGAAACGTTGCCCGTTTTTTCTTTTTTTTTTTTATTCTAATTAAAAACCAACACATTTGAAACAAGTAAATAAACAGCGGTTTATTAAAATTATAA